TGGTGGCCCACAACGCCGAGGCCGACCAGGGGCTGCACACCTATCGGGTGGGCATCAATCAGTTCGCCGACATGACCGACGAGGAGTACAGATCGCATTTGAACCTGCGCATCAACCCGGCCTATTTGCAAAATTTGACCGAGGTCGATGAGCGTGTAGATGTCAACGCCTACCCCGACAGTGTCGACTGGCACGCCAAGGGCAAAGTGGCTGCCGTTAAAGACCAGGGTCAGTGCGGCTCCTGTTTCGCCTTCTCGGCCGTCGCCTCCATTGAAAGTAAGTGTTATTTATTATAATAAAAATAATTTATAAATCAGCTTAAACTATTAAGATCATAAAAAACATTAGATCAATACTAATTTGTTGAGTTTAATATAATTTATATTATAAAAGCTTTTATTAAGCTAATATGTGCTAAACATAGCTAATAATTAGATTATTAAATAAACGAAACAAATTAACAATGTAAAATTATTTTGTTACCTAGGTCAATACGCTATCGCCACCGGCAAACCGGTGCCCGACCTGTCGGCCCAGCAAATCGTCGACTGCATCCACTCCGGCGGGGACGTGTGCCAGACCGGCGGCGACCCCGTGGGTGCCCTAAACCTGGTAATCCAGGAAGGTGGCGTCGAGACCACCCGTGACTATCCCTACCACGCTCGTATGTCTAGCTGCGTGTACTCCCGTAGCAAAGCAGCTGTCTCAATCACTGGCGTAAAAACCCTGCAAACCGGTAACGAGAATACCCTGAAGTCAATGGTCGCCGGACAGCCAGTGGCCGTCGCCATCGACGCTGGTCACCCTGGTTTCCGTAACTACAAATCCGGTGTTTACCAGGATTCAGCCTGTCACACCCAGGTGTCTGGCTTGAACCATGGTGTTTTGGCCGCTGGTTATGGCTCGGAAAATGGCCATGATTATTGGCTTATCAAGAACTCGTGGGGAACTGGTTATGGTGCCAATGGCTATCTCAAAATGGCCCGTAACCATAACAATAACTGTGGTGTGGCTTCCTATGCCTGCTACCCGACCGGTGCCCATTAAATCCGGGTCCGACTGTATATGATTTTTGTATAAATAACCCCAAATACTTTGTATAGAAATGCATTTGTATTGAATAATTAAGTGTATAATAAAGCAAAACAAAAAATTACATTGTTTAGTTCACATTAATTTAATTATTTTAGTATTAACATTTTCAAGTTGAATTTAAAAAATGTTAACCTCGCTCGTAAAAATATAATGCATTACAGAGAGAGTAAATTACTATCAGTACACTTCAATTAATAAAATACCGTAGTAAGTAAATGGGAAATATACAGTACATTAAATGATTAAATATTTTTTATTGTAGAGTATACGGTATTTAATCCCTGTTTGTAAACCACTCCCAATGTTAATGAATTATTATTTAGTGTAGATATAAAACATCTCCTGAGTATAAAGACATATAAATACAATGTTTAGATAAGTACTTTATTTCATGTACGTAAGAAATATATCAAAAATTTTGATTCTTAATGTGAATGTTTATTTTGTACATTTAATTTTTTTAACTATAAAATTTTTTATGAAGAATAAATTAAATAAATAATTACTAAAGCTAAAATGTTTTTATTATTTGAATTAGTATTTTAACTTGAAAATTATATTTTATACTTCAAATAAAAACCTCTATTTAATTGTGATTAGCATTTCCTTGTATGTGATAATGAACTCACATTATGACAGATTTATAGACATGGTAACTAGATTAATCAAACCAACGGTAAATTACCAGTGTCATGGTAATTTTGATATAATATTGCATTGTATTTACGACATTATTTTGGCAAATATATTTAAGGGATGTGGTTTATAATAAATTGTGATAGATTTATTTGAAATTTTTCACTTAATAGAGCTGAAAAAATTCATAGAAATTTTCCGTATTTTGATTGTGTTTAGTTTGCACATAGTGTTTGTTATCAAGATGAATTAAACAGATTACTATTGTGAGTAATTAGTGTAAACGTATGATAATATACTGTTAGGTAAGGGTTATTACAAATGAAACTGAAATTTTTTATTATTTAATATTAATATTATTATATAAAGTCCGTTAAGTTTTACACCATTTTGTATTATAAATAAGTAACAACTAGGTTCATTAAGTATTTTAATTATTAATCTAGTCAAGTGAGTAGCTAACTATATTTAAATGTCATTTTTAAATTTAAATATACAAGTTTTAAATAATTTTAAAAATATAAAGCTATTTATAAATTATAAACTATTAATTAATTAAATTTATATAACTATAAACTTTACAGAATAAACATGAAGCTCATTATAACACTGGCAGCGGTGGTAGCGATGGTCAGCGCAGTAACCATAAGCCCAGACGAGATAGAGAGCGAGTGGCAAAAATTCAAGGTAAAAAATAACAACACCATAATCAAATACAAAACTACAAACAACAAACACCATAATAAAACTAACACAATTACTATAATCAAATGATTACAGCGTGAATATCGGACCAAAAACACATTGACCGCAATGACTGCCGCGGAGGCCGAGAAAGAGGAGCCCAAACGGCGCCAGATTTTTGCCGACAACTATCGGACAGTTGTCGAACACAACACCGAAGCGGACGCTGGGCTACACCCGTACCGGTTGGGCGTCAACGAGTTCGCCGACATGACCGACGAGGAGTTTAGGCAAAAGTATCTGGGTCTGTTGCCGCCTAAACCGGGTAATATTACCACGTTAAATACCGTACGCGATTTAAAAACAACGGAGATAGTACCTGATAGTATTGATTGGCGCGAACAACATGTGGTCACACCAGTTAAGAACCAAGGATCGGTAGGTTATTTTATATATAACGAGTACAGCTCGTCACAAACATTAGTACTTATACCCACCCCTATCTTTCCACTCCCCTCTATGTGTTTCCAATGCATATTGTAAGTCCCCCACACCTTTTAAATGTAACGTTTAGCGTATAACATTGCGTGTCACCCTTTGAGGTAGTGATCGAAAACTTCTAATTTTTGAGTGCCGGTGCCGTACCAGTGCCGCTTTAATTCACGGCCCTTAGTGCCGGTGCCGGTGCCGCCTAAGTGCCGTTAGTGCCGGTGGTGCCGGTGGTGCCGGTAGTGCCTGTAGTGCCGGTGGTGCCGTGCCGATAGAGCCTGTGCAGACATATTATTTGTCACTTTTACAGATACAAAACATGCAATTTTGCTGTATTTATATAACTATTTAAAATAAGAACACATTTAAATAAAATAATTTAATTTTTGATTTAATTTTAGTTAGAAATGCTAAAAAATACAAAATTAAATGGTGCCGGTCAGTGCCGGTACAGTCAGAACTGGTGCCGGTGCCGTTACAGTGCCGCGGCACCGGCACCACGGCACTGAGTGCCGGTGCCAGTACCTCGGCACCGGCACCAACATTTTGATCACTATTATAAATAATGATTCATTAGTATTGATTTACAATAAATAGCTATAAATTGTTTAGTATTTTCAGTAGTATTTAATAAAAATCAGCGTTCAGTCAAAGTGAATGGAAACTTTTATTAGAAATTAATTAATAAATGCAAACATGTATTACATTTGCGGATAAATATAGATAAGTATTAAACGGAACTAAATATCGATATAATTGGAGTAAAAATGTAAAAATCAAACAACGATTACATTTTGTCAAAAATATTATCAAATCAATGGTCAGAGTGTTTATAAGACTTGCGTTTTATTATTCTTCTCGACGCCGACAACAAATATCTACTGAACGGTTGGATTTTGTGTTGTATTTGTGGCCAAAGTTTGTGCTGTATTTGTGGCCAAATTCTGTGTTGTATTTACGGCCGAATTCTGTGCTGTATTTGTGGCCAAATTCTGTGCTATTTTTGCGGTATTATTATTCTTCTCGACGGCCGCTCTGTAGGCGTCGGCAATC